CGGCCCATATTTACCGGATTTTTCCAGCCATTTTTATGATTTTTGCGGAATTCAACAGAGGATAGTCGTAGCTGACCCGCTCTATTTAGATTAACAAGGCATTTTAGATTTAGGTCATGGGGCGCACTCCTTTATATCAATTATACATACCATTTATGATTTTCAGTATCGCTTTGGACACGTTCCTTACAATTTCATCTACATTTTAGTCGGCCTTTTTAGCTAAAAAGGGATCTTACACAACACTTGATCGGAAACTAAATCCAACGATCAAAGAAAGCTTATCCATGCCTCAAACAGTCTTAAGCGGGTAATCTCATCTCTATGCAATTTTCGAAGAAGAATGAAGCTGAACTATTCAGAAAGTAAAGTCATATGCGTGGGCCATGCAATTATGCATTAGCTAACTTTGCAGTCGTATAGTCGTATTTCACAACTCAGATATTTTCTTGGAGTCCAACCGAGGAAATATGCTGCCTCTGTTCGTCTCGACGTCGGATGTAATGGATCAATTACCTACATATTTTCACCGCACTTTATAAAGTCACTCATCCTGATACTGATCTATGAGAGCAAAATTTTGAATATATAATCGTTAATGTATCGATTGAATTATTATTTTCGTATTTTATTTTATTTTTCATGCAATTTCAGTTTTCATGAATCTCAGGAATTCATGAGGATTTTTTAAATGCAGAGAGACTTTAACGCAACGGCATAAAAATCAACCAACAATCTATTATAGAAAAGTTTTCCTTTTTGGCACTTGTATAATGAAAAGTGAGTCAGAAAATAAACTTCTGGCTCAGATACACACTTTGGTTGATGATTTGAAAGCGTATTTTGAACTAAGTCCAGTATCCAACTTTGAACTCGTGCTTGTTTTTGATAGATTCACATTATTCTCAGTGATTACAATCCGGCAAAAGATGTGACTGTGAATCTGATCGAGTTGAAGATGCGTTCAAGTATTTAAATATTATTTATGTGATGGAATGTGGTATTAAATATTACTGCCAGGTATAGTCCATCGTTATTCCAAGTCGCAGTAAGGTAGATTCAATCAGATTTTGAAGCCAGCTATTCCTAATTTAGTTTCATGATTAATTAGAAGCTTAATTCGAAACCCTCTCTCGCATTCATCAAAATGACAAACTACCAGAGATGACTCTTATAAGTTATAGCAACATAAAATTGTATTCATTTAAGTTTTTGTGAAACTATCTTTATCTATCGAAACTGGCTGATTCACCTAATCTAAGAATTTTCGAGCCGGACCGACACTGGGTGTACCGTTCGTTTTGCTGTCATATGGAAATGATTTATAAATATAGAATAATGGCAGCGACGTTTGCGTTATGATCAAGAGCAGTCAAGTGTCACACTAACAATAAGTCTTAGGATTGCGTTACCCACACATCCTACGAGTGTAAAATCGACAGATCAAAAATCGATCGCATAACTCTCGATAGTACTCGCAATTATGTTAGACAAGCTAGGGATTACTTGGATTCGATATTTTTTGCGCACTTTGCGCACGGGAAAGACAATCCGACGCAAGAAACACATCCGAGTAATACTCGGTGATCCGGTCGCCAAGAATGTAGAGGCATTGTTGTTAGATTGTGATAAAAATCAGCACTTTTCCCCGTATAGTCCCATATAAAATATTCAATTGTGTCACTTAACCTAGCAACTTGTGTAGAAGACAGTTACGACATCTAGGAAATCAGGCTGTGGGTTTCAGCGAACACTCGATGCTTGCATTCGAGCGAACTCAACTAAAGATGAACTTTTCATATTATAGTAGTAAAAAATCACTCCGGCAAGGTCATCAATAATTTTTAACACCATGAGGCAAGAAGAGTTTATACTCTCATTCATATATTTAATGGACCACTAGACAAGGTACGAATTTAAGCATTCTAATACATGCTTCTTACATAGAATTTCACGTAGAACACGACTCGCGCAATGAAAATTACTAAAAACAACTTCTAACGAAGAAATCAACGGTTTTATTTCACATTGGTTACGAGGAACTTGAACTGCCCGCTCAAAAGAAACTCAAAGCTCCGCGTGAGTCAAATCGCCCACCACAACGATTTCAGCGAGCCTCTTAATCGAGCAATGTTCATTTCCCATCATATGTTGTTCAAACCATAAGCAATTTGCTATAGCTGAGCCAAAGCGTCAAGATTGAGGTTGCCAGATTTTTATATCGTAGAGACTGTCACGATAAACGTTTAGCGCACGATGTGAATCACGTAGAGCATTGAGTTTTCATGAGCGGGTGGTTTGAATTCGCGCATCAAGAATCATTCAATATCTTCGTAAGGAGGTGATTTCGGTAATTTTTGTTGTGCGTATCGTATTTTACGTAAAATTTCGGTTAAGAAACATGTATCAGAATGCTTAAATTCGTACCTTGTCTAGTGGTCCATTATGTTTTGAAAGGCAAGTATTCAGTCATTCCCTTACAAAACTGCAAGGCAACTTACAGCCTCTCAAAAAGGCATTTTTCTGACCTTTTGGGAATTTTTCAACACAAAACCTTGTGATGAAAAAAATAAGCCTATGTAAACAATTATACCATGCGGTGTTTTTGGAGATAAAGCGTTATTGCAGTTTTCACATTGTTTGATGACCTTTTTTGCCCATACGGCGCTGAAAATATAAAATTCCCATAGCCGCATCACCAAAACTAACCTGTAGCTGAAGCTATTAAATGTAATGGAGTTGTCCTTATCATAAGATTTTTCTTTACTCACATTCCAATTATTGATATCCCGCGTTCTCTAAGAAGGGGTCATGTTTCCGGAGTCTCTTTGTCTCGTGTACATACTTGAATGGAAGTAAGGTAGTTTCTATCTTTTTCTTTCTTACGCGGTAAAAATGAAGTTCTTTAATTCATATTATAAATCGGAGGATTGACCGATCAAACAAATTATAAATGACTTAGAGCACAACTCATGACAGAAAATAGTTTTATTTACAAAACAAACGCTTATGAACTAAGTACGAAAATAAATAATAACTAATGCGTAAAAAACAGTAAATTAAAAACGGCACAATAGTGGCAGGAATCACATAGCAGTATATGTGTACGACTGGTGTACATTTTATTGCCGTAAAATGAGTCAGCTCCAAAGTGTGTATCAATTCTGTAAGCTGACCGTCAAAGTGTGACGAGAATCCTACAAACTTCTAACTCCACGAAGTGAGAAAAAGGCATTCGTTTTATTTACAGAGTAATAAAATCCTCTAAAGAGAGGAATAAATAAGTTCGTCTAAAAGGAAAACGAAGAACACAATAAATAAAGAAATAAATAACGAGAGGAATGGGAAGGAGATTGAGATTTTTTTTTGTCCTGTTCTAATTTAAAAAAAAAAAATCGGCTCATCGAAAAGAACCGATTTAAAACTTCGAATTAAAAAAGAAATGTTTTAAATTTAAAACGAACAAAAACTCCTCACGTGTGAGTATCTCTCTGGTTTGAAATTTCTTCATTTTCATTTAAACTGAGTATTCTTTCTCCGAAGCGAAATCACATCTTTTTTTCTTGGTCGTGAAAATATCTCATAATTAAAGAGAACCTCACACCTGACATTCCACGGTGATAGTTTGATCGCGCAGAGGTGAGGGGTGGGTGTCGTTTTTTTCTTATTTTTCATTTTTTATTCATTTAGTTTTTGCCTGTCTGCGCCGAGCTGAAAATTTCTTCCATTTTCCCCGAGCAAATTTTCTGTAAAACTCGCAGCACGTCAATGATTAAGAGTAACTAATTTAAATTTCACCGAACTTTTGAATTGTACCTTTAACCGGAGCACTTTTTCGTCGGAAAACATACGAGGAAAAAATGTATCAGGATGAAAAAAAAAACCTTGAGGACGAAGGTCGAGGAAAGAAGGACCGATTTCATGAATTTTAAAACAATAATCTCTCGAAAACTAATTCCTCTTGTATACCTTTTACAGATTGGAATAAGTGAAATCAAATAAATTCTTTCCAGTTTATAATGTCAGAATGCGTGGGCACTGGAAACTTGGAAACTTTAAATCTATCGACAAATATTAAGTGCTCACAATCGGTACTGAACTCATTCAATGGTCATTTATGGATTAAACATTACACAAAAGATAAATCAATTTGGAGGAAAATGTGGAAACTTGGCGAAAGATTCAAGCACGACCAAGAAAAATTATCGGAAAAAATAAAAAAAGGAAACACAAAAAAGAAAGTTACTTGCGAGCAAACAATATGCGCTTATTTCGTCTGAGTTCGTCACAGAAACTTTAAGGCAAAGAAAATAAATGGAGTCACCAAACTTTAAAAAAAATGAATGTGCGGCAGTCGCATCGTTGTGTTATAAAAAATTCTCGTGGATTTCTGAATGCCGTTTCCAAACGGCAGAAAACAACTGCCAGTAATTCGCGAGACCGTTCTCCCACGGTCATCATCTATCAGACTTTTTTTGTGGGCATTGTAGCGCATACAAGCCGCACGTGCGCCGAACGCGTGCTACATACAAACGTTGCAAAATTGATTAAAATCTTGAAATTATGGACGTTCAGCCTCAGCGAGGGGTTAAAAGTAAAATCGGAGTGCGGATTTTTCAATTTTTTAACAACACTCAAAAGGCGCGATACTGTATTTTCCTGGATTCAGTTCCTCGTAAAAAGAAGAACCTTTTCGCAGACTAATCTACCGTGCTAAGAAAAAACGCCATGAAAACATTTGAGAGTCGCCAAATTTCCTCCGATAATATGATTACTCTTGAGGAGAGCTACGAGTATTTTCTCTTGAAATTCTCAGATAATTTTGATCTGATCACAAATAAAATTCTCTGAAAAATTGGAAGGAAAATATTCGCAAATTTCTTTGAGGATTTATAATCATCGGAGGAAATTTGGCAACGTCTCAAGGCTCATACGACGTTTTTCCTTAATATGGCAGTAAAAGCAAGAAACGTGGCTTTCGCTAAATCAGTCTGTTTTGAAGTTATTTGGCAGGTACTCGGAAGAGCTCCGCGGATTTCCCTCTCTCGGGCGAATTTTTTTTCTCAGCGATGGCTTCACCGCCGGTGCTTTTCGGTGTATTTTTTGCTAGTTTTCAGGAACTTGACCGAGGTGCGTCTGGGATCATCATCAAGCTCGTTGTTCTCGGTGACTTTAACCTTGCTCTTCTTGGTCGGGGCTGGTGCCTCCACGATCACAGGAATTTCTTCTTCATCGTCCGAGTAATCCTCAGTCGAGAAGGAGCGAATTGGGTATCGCTGTTGCATCCGGATGAAGTCCGCTATTCGGCCCGTTATGCTTCCATAAGGAATCCCTCCTAAAAGAAACGGACAAATGGAGTTACTAAATAATACTAATGAAATACCTGACACAGACGCCTTTATTCAATGTTGAAATACGTGAAGAAGCTTTAGACACAACGATAAAGATCGCAGGCGTGGCGTGCTTTGCGATAGATCTATTTAAATAAAGGAGGGGTATCTATAAGGGCCTTCCCCCCCCCTAGAGGGCCTTTTTCGTGTCCCTCCACCCCTAGAATCTGGAAATTTATGCGGGTTTTCCAAGTTGGCTCAATGTAGTTTACTGAAATAATCATGATTTGGTCCATAGGCCACTGGATAAGTGTTAAACGGTTGTTAAACGGTTACACTTAACGGTTGTTAAGTGTAAAACTGGAACATACGTCTACAGGCACATTTTAGCAAAAATGCGTGCTTTTCTATTACTCTGTGGCTATTTTGACACGGAGCGCATCGTCTAACTAAAACCAAACCAGGGTTGAAATGTGTTCTAAAGCTTTCTTGATAACATATTATCAAAAGCTCGTTTTAGTTAGACGATGCGCTCCGTGTCAAAAAAGCCTCGGAGTGATAGAAAAACACGCATTTTCGCTAAAATGCGCCTGCAGACGTATGTTCAGCCAACTGTTTAACACGTATCCAGTAGCCCATGGACCAAATCATGAATATCTCCGTAAACTATATTGAGCCAACTTGGAAAACCTGCATAAATTTCCAGATTCTATGGGGGAGGGGGAAGGTCCTGTAGGAGGGGCTAAAATTTTTTTTTTATCGATACTCCTCCTTCATTAAAGTTCATTTGTTGAGGATGATTTAAAAATCGATCTATTGCAAATTTTCGATGACGGAATGTGTACAAGAGTTATGTCCATAAATATGGCTCAAAATACAGATAGGCTTCCCTGAAGAAGTCTAAAAATTCCCTCGTCATCTCACAATCCGTGTGAAAAATTAGCGCATTGTTGTGGTTGGTTGGTAGATATGTTTATTTGGTGCTAGCTTTTAATATCTGAGCCATTAACACCTTAGAGGAGAGATCAAAGTAGTGCCTCCCGCTACAAAGATATAGATTTGATACAGATGAGTCACGTCGGTTTCACGTCTGCACCTAAAACTCAAAATGATCGTCATCGTGTGACGCAATTCCTCAATTTAAAGAAGAAAAAATTGAAGACAGACAAACAAACAACAGCAAAATTACAAACATGTCTCATCGAATATCAGAACCTTCCTGCTTACCAAGTGTCCCTTCCTAAAAAAGTATTTTCGTGGTTTAGTCTGTATTGAGGAACTGCGTGATGTCATTGAGGAGCTGCATGACGTCATAGCGGTCTTCATGAGTTTTACGCAGAGTTGTGAGACTTATCGGTATCGAATGATACATTTGTCAAAGCATGATTTTTAGGAGGAAAGCTGAAAAATGCGCAAATTCTTCTCGCAAAAGATGAGTCTAAAATAGAATGCCGGACTTCGCCACTGCGCTCAAAATTATTTTTGAGACATCTATTGTTAGAGCGCTCTTATTTTTGTTCTATTTAATCATTATGCAGATCCATTAAGCTGTTTTTGAGTGAACTGATTTTCTCTTAAACTGATTTATTCAATATGTAAATTTGTGAAAAAGAGAGAAAAAAACTCTTGAGATGCTTCGGTTGTGCGTCTGAAGCATCTCAAAATGGAATGCGAAGGTATAAAGGAGTCGAGTTCTACAAGCTCATCAACGGAAATATAATCTGAATTGCGCGCGAAATTCATCAAATTTTTAAAATTGCAACTACATTCTCACATTATTAGTTCTAAACTTAAAAGAATTCAATTTTTTTGTTTCCTCTTAGTTTCCTCTTCCGAATGATTAAAATTAAATTCAAACGCGGGTTGTCGGTTGATTATAATTCGCAGTTTTAAAATATTTAGGGAGAATTCCGCATCGAACGAGATGAAGTGCACCATCGAATGTCAGGATCATGAATTATCCTCGTTGACAGAGACAACGCTCTCCTAAATTCAGTAATTTTGATTTTTGAAGAAAATTCTTCCAAATCGGTAGGTGTTTCTCACAGGGAAATACAATATTTAATCGAAAGGAATCTCACGTTGTTTTGTCTCCACCTTATAGGCACCAGATTTCGCTTCACCATTTTGATTTCACCTGTATTAATTTTCTATCATCGTAATCAACTTACCGTAAGCTAGTCCATTCCGCCGCTTGTAGTGGCCAGCACTGTCACTGTTAATGCTGACGACGCAAACGAGACAGACAAAAATACTGATCTGAAACAATAAACCAGAATCATCAGCATAGGCATTTCTAATCTGGCCACAATGGACATGTTTCTTTTATGGAGAAGACAGTAAGTATACGATTAACTGAATACTTTCTTTTCTGTAAAAAAAAAAAAAAAAAAAAAAAAAAAAAAAAAAAAAAAAAAGATTTCTGGCTTATCTTGAAACAACGCACACATTTTTTTAGTTTGCCCTTTCAGATAGGTGTTTCTACAAATGAGCCAGCATTCATTATTGCAAAGTGTATATAGTCTATTTATCATTTGACTTCATGTATATTGTCTATTTCATAGGTATCAATTAGTTGATTCATCATCTTTCCTGGGGGTGTGACCGGAGAAATATCTCGCAAAATTTAATTGCATTACAAGAACTTACAAATAATACAACTATGAAAAAATATCCCTAAAGCCAAATGACCAATGATTCTATTTTAATATCTCCTTGAAGATTTGTATAGTTCAACGCTTTATGATCAAACTGATCATTAATGAGTTTATTGGCGCTGTAAAATGAAATATCACGATTCCGTAGTGATTTGGATACGTTTGCTTAATAGGTGCGAGGGGTAAAGAAGATCGTTTGTTTTTGTGCATGAAGGTCAAAATGTGTGCGTCATATAATTATTTTTTCAAAGCCGTGCGTCGCGTATTTGGAACCATTGTCTTTGATATATTCGCAGAAAATCGTGTGACTTAATTTATCATTTTAACTTTAGTATTTAAGAAGTCATCACTGTGATGCAGTTGCATTCCATCGCGCTCACAAATACCTACTGAAAATGACTGATAATTTGCGGAATGTAATACACTCGTTAATGTAAGTGTATAGCCATTCCAAATAAGGCTCCTTCTAAGTATGAATTAGACAGCATTTACCAGATATTAGCCTGACCACATACCACACCATCTAATTTCCTCTTATGATTTATCTCATCACAAGAAAAGTAAGCAACAGAGTCTCTCTTGAGTATACCCTTTATACTCTGAGCAAACTCCACAGAAAGTTTTAATTGCTTAGTTTTCCTGTAGAAACATTAAGTCTGAGAGAAATGTAAAGCTCCGTGAAATACAGTTCGGTTCATACTGCCGAGCTAAGGAAGAACGCCGTATGAAAATTCCAGAGTTGCCAAATTTCCCAGGATAAAACAGGTATTTATGACAAAATGTATGCATATTTTCCCTTGAAATGTTCAGATATTTTAGATTAAAGTGCGAACTAAATAGTCTGAAAATTTTGAGGTAAAATACTTAAAACTTCTCCAATAACTTACTATTTTATCGGAGGAAATTTGGCAAAGCTTAAAGGTTCATACGGCGTTTTTCCTCGGCAAGGCAGCATACTGGTGTTATCCATTCTAATTATGGTGAGCTTCAAAGTTAACACGAGGCAGAAACCACGTGTAGGCATTTTTTAAGTGATTCTTCCTTCCGAAAAGGATACGTCACGTAGATTATAAACCAAAACACCCAAGGTCACGGCAATCGAAGCACGTTATAAAAAGAGAAAAAAGACAAAAGATCGAAATCCGTTGTTTACAGATTCCCCGCCACGCCTTTGTGAGAAATCATCCGTGAAGCCTCGTCAAAGTAAGACTCGCCTCATTAATGACTAAGAATACCCGGCAATCAGACAGGATAAAACACCTGATGACGTCATACATCCGTTGAGGATCATAATCGTCTCTGGTAATCGAGCATCATTTACCGAGAAGACACTCTCTCTGCAATTTTCCTCGAAAGCATTCCTCTTGCTTTAGAATCAGTGGACAAGATGCAACGATCCAGGTGTAGAAATAAGCTGCACCATTTTCATTTCTGATAAATCTTTACTCTTACAGTCAATGATTATGTGCAACCAAGGAGTGCAATCAGTTAACACCACAGATTTGCTGCAATTCAACATTCGTCAGTTAATATTTTACTTAAGTTCTTGCACCGGGAGAAGTTGGATTCATCATAACAAGAGCCAGAGACCCGTCTCTTTGGCAATCTCTCATCGAGGCACATTTTTTTGCGTCCAAAAAGCGTCTTTTGGTTTGTGTCAACGGGTTTTCCTGGTTGTGGACCGTCCAATTTCATTGGAGTTTTCCATGTAACACAGAACATTTTCCCTTTCATTACATTATTTTTTTTCTGTGTGTGTGGAAGATTAAATGAAATTTTAGGGTATTCAAAATAAGAAATCTACAAGAAATCGCACCTGCTTTGTGAAGCTCATTTATTTAGTCTCATTTTTATCATTCATTTGAGGATGTTTTTCTACGTATGGTCGTAGAACAAAATAGAGTGACGCGAGACACAGAATTAGCTTGAGGGACGACGATTTTGCCTCATCAGTCCACTTTCCGGGCCGATTATTGAAAGTTTGGAGCAGCGCGATTGGACATTTGAACAGGACGTATTGCACAGTCAAGAGAGAGCTATATGTAGCCTTGTGGTGACAACATAGTTTCAATAATCGAGCTGTAGTACTCGTGGATAGCCGGTGAATGTCCTCAGGATATTCTTTCCGAACGTGGCAAAAAATTTTCTGTATTCCCTGGCAGTCATGTGAATTGTTGGTTCACAGCTAATTTTATTTTTCTCTGTGTAGTAATGTTTCAGTTTGAAAGATTTTTGGTCGTAGAACTGTTACTTTCTCTCTCCTTCAGTAGGTTGTGAAAAAATCTACCCTTTTTTTCCAAACATTTCCCCCCCATAAAATTCTATCGTTTAACGGAGAAAATAATTCCTACGCACAAGTATTTGGCTCGACGAAAGAGATATAAATTACTGAAATCAATTACACATTCTTATTTACATTATTTGCACTAGGCTTCATCGCTGAAACTTTAAAAAATCACCTGTCTGTATAACACATTCACTTCATTACAGATATAAAAATCAATTACACTGTCTTATTTTCATCGTTTGCACTATTAACCTTATTATACGCATTATTTTCATTATTTTGGCTCCATCGCATAAACTTTATCAACCTAAATCCCTTATTTTCAAAATCACGTGGCCGTATAAGATATGCACTTTTCCGCAGTGGATACATAAAAAACAATATTTAAAATTATGCATCTATGAGATTTGTCAAATCTTCATTAAAAACCACTACAACTGTTCATCATCATTATATTTAGTCATATCCATTCATCTATCATTCCAAAAAACTGCGATATAGCAGAGAGACGCAGGGAAAATCCATTGCTCCATAATATACGCGTTTTCAACTCATAAGAGTTCTTCAGTAAGGAATAAAACATGCCCCATCGGAATGTATCAGTTAATCTCAATGTCAAATAATAACTGAAAAGTTGAACGTAAATGTTTTGCTCTATTTCTTAAAAAGCACGTGGTCTCTGTTGCTCTTGAAAACTAGTTGATCAAGTTTTTAAAACTCACGAGTGCACTGAATTAATTGATGCATTTTATGGGCACGTAGCGGTTTCAATTTTAGCCGGCAGTGATCCAATTTCAATGTTAGCAACCATCAGTAAAATAAATACAAGACTGGTACACCATGTTTTGATCACTAATTTCGCTGTAAATGTATTAAACTGTCAATCGAGTTATCAAAAACAAAAAACCAACAATCTGATTCACAGGTTTCTGCCCACTTGACGTCTTGGTTGTTGATTAAAATGTAGGTAAATGACAATTGGGATGGGCAGTAAATTATTTGACGTCATTTTAGGTCAATTTTTCTGCACGAATACTTTTTAAAAAAACTTCGTGATATTGAGTGAATATAATTGAACCTATCCTCTGATCTGATTTACTTACATCAGGCGAAAATTTTTCAACGTTTTGAACAATTGATCGACATGAAAAGGTTTTTAAAGTTTGAAGATGGATTTTGTTCACAGTATAGCACTAAAAACTTCTTTGTCTAGTGACGTACCCGTTAATGTTTGCCTTCTCATAAACAAAATTAGCAGGTGACGGCATTCTTTTATCGTGGAGGAGGTGTTGAAAAATTGCTGTTTGAATTAACATTATTTCATTCTCACTTTAAATCCACGGGTTAGAATTGACGTTATGTCTATGAGATAATAGACGGATTATTTTTTTAATTACCATTCACGAAAATTTGCGAGATTTTTTTATTTTTGTAAAAAAATAAGGATACATTTTTGAACAAAAACAACGCAGTGGCAATCTTACCCAATGACTTGCTTGTAAACACAAGTGCAATATCATTCCGGATGGTGCTTAGAATTTTATTCATTCACACATTGGGAGTAGAGGCACTACGGGATGGGGCTTCGAAAGAATGTTGCCAATCATCGCACACGTGAATCAAATTTGACTCCATTTTTTCATGCACTAACAACTAAATTACTCCTAAAGTAATAGTCCTAAACTGCTTCCGGAGGGATGTTGAAACAGCTTATAGTATGTGTAGTCGGAACGCATATTTGAAGGTTGGAAAAGTCAATTTTTTTTGTCTTTGAACTTGCAAAGGAAGAGAGCGCATTTACTAGACCAATTTTAACAGAAACGCACCAAGTCACATTTAAAAAGAAGAAAAGAAGAAAAAAAGAAAAAAAAGAAAAAAACAGAAAAACAGAAAAAAAGGAGTCGGGATTCCAACTCATTTTTTTCAAAACTACTCGAGTGGTTTTGAAATTTAGACCCCATGTTTGACCTCAGACACATTAAAACAATATTTTGACTTTGCCATCCATCGTAGTATGACGATGGATAGTTGTTTTACCATTTGGCTAAGCAAAGAATACCACGACATCAGTTACTCGTTCATAAGCAAATTAGGATAGCTTATTTTTTCGCTAAGGAAAGAAGACAATGCCACCATTTCCTCATTTGTAAGATTGGTATGGCTCATTTGTTCACGAATCCCCTTTTTCATCATTAATTCGTGTTTTAGTTTTTATTTTTTGCTATTGTCATGACTTTATACTCACATCCCCGACACTACCGTATTGTGTATTAAAGCCAGCGCATTCAAATGGATTTCTCGAGACCGTTAATCTCTCATTTTTTTCATCGATGCCGATTTTTTCCCTCTGTGCTTCACTTGTCCAACCAGCACGTCCTTTCGGGATACGGAAGATCATAAACGTTCAAAATAATTTTTTTTCTTTTCTTCTCTTGTTTCTTCCTCATCCTCCTCTTCTTTATCTTCCCCTTTAGCGAAGTGATTCTGCGACGTTTAAAGTCCAAAGCTCCAGTCGAAGAATAATCCGTACAACGGATTATTCTTCCCTGAAGTTTTGGCAACTTTCTCTGCACTACAGCAATGTCGCACAAGCTGGTAGCGTATTAAAAGGGGAAAATGGCAAATTACATTTTAAATTTCAACGAAATTTAGTCAATTTGAAGAGATTTGTCAAAAATTCACTTGCAGTGTACAAAAAAAGTGTAACCGCTCTTGAGTAAATACACGAATTGAGGAATAAGGCCTTGCAACGTTGCAATGTTGTGATATTCCTGTAGTTCTGACTCTCATATTAAAATAATTTCATTCGTGGAAAGATAATGCACTATTTCTGGATCGCAATATTTCGATACATCCGTCCGTACTTTAATTATTAAAGAAGGAAATAAAAAAGAATGTTTTTGCTCGATATTTTGAGTATGTTCATTGAGGGTTCAAAAGAAATCATGCTAATCTTCTCACATTAAAAATGTTAAGTTTTACGTAATGAAGTTGAGTATCTCGAGGAAATTAAAACAACACAATCCAAAGAATAGATCATTCTACTTTCAATGCTGTGTACTCCCCCAAATACCGTTTTCTTCGAGACCGAGGAACTTGAAAATAAATTGTTCAAAACCTAAATAGCCTCGTGATTTTCAGTTCATATGACGGATGAGTGCGTGGTTTCAATTGCTCTCCCTCCCCTTTTTGAAAATCAGTATGTGTTTACATCCCATCTCCCTACCCCCATTCTCTTCTTACTTTGCGACGATATCGATCTTTACTGGTTTATTGAGAAATTGTCACTATGAAAAAAAGGACACTCAATGCAGGACAATAAAGTTCAACGGTCTCTTTTTTTTTAAAGGCGCGCCGGCGCGGCGATCGACTTCCATTTTTTTTAAAAGCTGTCTTGCTTTTGTTGAGTTATGCAAGAGTCCTCATTTTACCGTTTGTGACTGGTCGTTCTGACATGAGGTTCGTTAACTTCCGGGGGGTCAATGAGTGCATAAATTGACGATGTTGCAACGGATACCGGAAAAAACCCGCCTGCATGTCCTGAACCACCACAAAAAAACAATATGAAAAAAATCAAAGCAGAGACCCACACTCAGAATCGTTTTCAAGAGCATTCTCATACCCTGAAGAAGGAATGAGGGTAGAAATAGGGGGGGGGGACCAAATTTTAACAACCGAAGTTTAGAAAAAGGATATTGCATGCGCGGTGACCAAAACCACCCGCACCTGGTTTCTTCTGGATAATGTTGGGTTGGACGAAGTCGGAGATTGCGAGGACGAATTTGGACTCAAAAAGCACGGAAAATTTGGACCTGAACCGATGCGAAAAAATCCAAAATCTGTTGGTCTCTGTCCGAAATATTTGCCCCTGAAAAACCCGACCCCCTGCATAAAATTTTAGGTTTTTAACCCCGATCGAGGAATTTGAATCCGACGGTCTCGAAACCTCCCCTAGCCTCATCAATGAGGTGGACGGTTACGGAAAATGTAATTTTTTACTTTACACACTTTCATTTCTTTATTCATATTGAGTCATTTGCTGAATTGTTGAATCCTTATTCTTCAGAAAGTAAAATGTGTTCATTCCTAGCAAAAACGTAAACATTGAATACGTAATCGTGTGTGAGGGCTCAGAGGGGGCAACTTTAGAGTGAACATAAGTATGTACGGTAGTTTTATTAGGTGAACAAATTGTGTAGCTGAGGAACATCATGATCAAATAGTCTTCAAAATGGGTACTAAGAATTGTACTTGTATTAGAGGGAGAGGCTGAGCTCGTAATGTCTGCAATCTTGAATGATGAAATTTTACAGCCCTCTTTTCAAATTAACGAAAGGTTAATTACCCATCAGTATATGTGAGTTAGTCTATTTCAAAGTAGTTGCCCTTGAACTATTAGCTGTTCTTTCAATCTTGGAATCTCGGATCACTTTTCTGTGACATTCTCTATATGGACTATGAAGTATTAAGTAGTCTTTTTTATTTTTTTCTCGAGAACATTTAAAAAATTGGCCGACGACAATTTATCTATAAAATGTGTCTCTATTTTTATGGAAATCAAGTTTTATATTCTGTCGAGATATTTCTTTTTCTACTTCAAAGGACAGTATCTTCCAATTTTGAAGTGACGGTGATTAACAGGTATGTATGACTCCTTATTCAGATAAATATGTATTATTTCAGTTGATCAATTAATTAGTTATTTTTAGGAAACTTTAAGAACACAAGCAACATAGTCTGGCACATGTATGAACATGTCACGTGTCAGAAGAGTTCGATGACCTCAAAACTTTCAGCCTTTCATTCAAAAATCATAGTTGCGTAGTGATTTTTGAAGCCAATAGGTTGTCAACTTCTAATACCTGCACGGCATCAATGATTCTTTTGAAAATTTTCGGTTCAAGTAGTAGTTGAATTCGGGCAACTTGGAGTTCGTTAGAAAACCAAAAGAGTATATACTTTGTTTACTTTACGAAATTTTGGGATACTCAAAAATATAACATTACAAAAACATAAAGAATTATATTTTTCTGAAATAGGTGTAAAAAATAGAAAGATAACATAAAAAAACTGCATTCTCCATTACGAGAATCATTTTAAAGTAAGAATTATTAAGTGCGTACAGAGAAGGACGATGATCGATGAAAGTTTCACCCAAGGAAAAACGCCGTATGAACATTCGAGAATTGCCAAATTTCCCACGATAAAACATGTATTTTTGAGACATTCATGCATATTTTTTCTTGAAATTTTCAGATAATTTAGATTAAATTGCGTACAAAATTGTCTGAACATTTTGGGAAAAAAATATTTAAAATTTTACCAGTAAATTCAGTTTTTAGTGAAGAAAATCTGGCAGCGTTTAAAGGCTCATACAGCGTTTTTCCTTGGCACGGTAGTATGGCTGTGCAATTTTCTCTTCATTCAAGGACATCGATGACATGTCTTAAAGGCAACATCCTTTAATGCGTCTTTTTTAAAACTATTTTTCCTCTCTTTTCTGGAAATAGACTAAGCATGCGCATTGCTAATCCATCTTAATATGTGTAGCTGTCAAAAGGAAGGGAGAAACACGTGAGCACAAGGTAAGTACGTCAAAGAGTCAATGTTTTTTTCTAGGGCCCTTAACTTTGAGATAGAATAATGATGACTGTTCAGTCGAGTTCACTCCTACCCTGGAATCATTTCAATGCATACTTTGGGTCATTGTATTTCAAACTAATACCAAAGGCAAACGCAGGAAAAACCTAAACTCAGGGCAAAATTCTGCATAAACACATCATCATGAAAGCTAAAAAGTACTCACAATTCCAAAGGCTCGCATGGTGCTGACTTCTCCTCGAACTTCAAACTGACTGATTGACCGGCGTGGTCCAGAAGCTGTAGTCGTCTCGCCCGCGTTCAAGGCCGATGTACTTAACGGTAGGCGCACTCTATTGGCAGCAGGTCAAACCAATGGCACTTCTGTTTTTTTTTTCTGCGAAAAATATTGCCTTTCGATAGATGATATGAGCAAACTCACTCCAAAATAACTTTGTGCGAAGGATTTAAACTCAAGAACCCAGGACATTTAGGGCAAGTGGGCGTAATTTGAAAAATTTCAAATTAAGTTTCTAGGTTGGATATTTGAAATGAGGCAAAGTAAACCAGGTTCAACCTGGTTTTCGCCGGCTAACCAGTATGATTTTCAAGCTTTGATATACTGAACTGGTGATGAATTAGTTGCCAAATGCAGATAATCAATCGTCCTGACCTAGATTGCATTTCTAAAGATTTTCCCAGATTTTTGGATTGAAATACCAGAATATGCAGATAAAAATTTTCTCTGGAATTCTCGATCATTTCATAATATCTTTTTAGAATTTTTAGTTCTGATTTAACACTACTATCCAGATTGCTCAATTTTTCTAAAATGTCAATTAATTTCAAGTTAAAGTATCAAAGTTAAGCACGAAAAATTTTAGGTAATGAAACGTCAAAAAAATATACGTCTTACATCAATTTTTTCTCTATAAATGGCTAACCGTTCAGACTTTTTTTTCAAAACATGTGCGATTTAATAAGTCTTAAAAATTTAATTATTTGTCCTGGCATTTGAAAAAAGTTTAGATTTGACTATTATTCTGCGACGAACTAACTTTAAAATCAAGCATTCACCAAAAAAAAAAAAAAAAATTCAAACTTACCTTCTGAAATCCTACACGAAGATATAC